AATCTCTTCAACAGGATTTGCAGTCAGATCAGCCTTCGGACCAAACGCACCAAATAAATTAACAACAGCTATGACTACAACCAACACGTGATCATGACACAGTACAATCATACACTCATATAAAGACCTTACTGCTGCAGTGTGTCCTCCTGTCCCCTTCTGTATTCACATGTGCACATATCTTGGTGTGGGTTGTGTTTTTGGGTTAATATTCATGTGGTAGCAGTTCTTTCCTTTCTGCAGAGACCAGATGTTGTCTCTTTGAGGTAGTGTTACAGCCATTTTAAAGATGTTTGGCAAGTGAAGAGAGGCTGCATCAGACGTGAGTTTGTCTGTGACTAAGGTTTGCAGATGGTATAGTAGTTTGTATTCGAATGATAAAGTAAACTTGGGATGTAGGTGTGTGAATGAACACTGATGTGGTTGCGGTTTTACAGCAAACCAAGACAATACAGCTAATGAGAGCACATGTGCGTGGATCTCTACAGCTTAGCTTCTTCCATCATGCCTTGGACTCTCGACCTGCTGAGTGGGTGTGCTCCGAATTTGTCTACTCATTGAATTCTAAATGCAGCTTGATTCTATAGGAGCACCTCAGTGACTGATTTTCTATTCAAGAGCTTTGATATCTATGCCAGCATGCACTGAGGCAAGGAAACACATGGAACAGGTCAAGACTGTAGCATATGTTCACAGTTATGGGCACTTCAAGGAACTCCAGCCTACCTGACCTACTTCTTCTTGGACTACACAGGAGACCAGAATATTTGAATGACACCTATACACCATGCACACCAAAGAAGACAAATTTAAAGTCCAGCGACTTCTCTTTCGGTCACCTGCTGTTCCAAATAAGAGCAAGATTTCATCATACATCCCCAGACATTTGAGCCTGTTTATATCTGCTGTGCCACCAAGGGCACCACCTGGCTAAAGCTGCCCCATATGCAGCTTTAATTTAGCTCTGGGGTCCAGGTCTTTTTCTTGTCCCGCTGCTTTTTTGTGGAGCTATTTCAGATGGCCTGCAGATGTACATGTATGATCTGATGAGCCAGAATAAACTTTTTAAATTTGAACAAAAATTGAGTTCTTTTGCATGTAGATTGTACCAGTTTGGATGATATTTGTCTAAAAAGGACATAGTATCAAAAGGATTTGTCTACACACGATAACTGGCATTAACAACTTGATACAATGTCATAAGACCATAGTAGGTAAGGTTATGGCAGACTTAATGATAATAAGCTTGTAATGGAAAGTCAGAGCAATAAGCCACCTCCATTTAAGTGGGATATGACTCAGTAACTATAACTAGTAGCTTCTCATGAGCTGATGGTTTTTCCTTTAAGAAAGTCTTGATATGCTAAACAGCTTGCAGTTTACCTTGTTGTGTTTGAGCTGAGGTGCTGCGAGGGACCACCAGTGTTTATGTGGGTATTGAACTGTTTGTTTGATAAACTATTGGGTAAGCTGTGTGCGTTTGTGAAAGAGGGAAGCAGACAGTCCCATCTGCAGGACAGCGTTTCGCTCCGAGCGTGCTCGCAGAGAGGAAATGTCATCAGCAGATTTCTCTTGCCTGCTATAGAGCTGTCATGTCCCGTCTCATATCTTCTCTTCTGTTGACTTCACTGCACTTATGTTGTCTTTTCTCTTTTTTTTTTTTTTTTTTTTTTTCATGCTTTTTTTTCCCTTCCCTCATGTTCTCGCCCCATGGCGCCTGCAGCCATAATCCTGTGTGCACTGTGCGTACATTTTTTAATGAGTTTGCTCACTTTCTCAATCTAGCAGTCCTTGCACATTTAACATATGGTATAGAAATATAGTTTCAAATTTATGACCTGAAGTGCTATCTAATATGATCTCATCCACCCCTAGAGTGGTTCTTATCATTTCTACTCCCTAACATGAGCCCTGCATAGCTTGGAGTGAGAGACACACACACTGACTTTAGATGGTCTTATACTTGTATAGCACTTTTCTATGCATTGAAGCACACTCAAAACGCTTTCACACTATTTGCCCATTGACTTGTTCGCACTCCCAAGCACACATGCGCTCACACACCGGTGATATCACAGGGAGTAATTTGGGGCTCAGTGTCTTGCTCAAGTACACTTCACCTGGAGAAGCCAGGAATCAAACTACAAACCTTCCGGTTGGGAGATGACCTGCTCTGCCTCCTGCTAGTCACTGTGTAGAAAGTTGGCATGGGAGGGTGTTGTTGAGAGAGAAGCTGCTGGATCTAGAAAAATGGCCGAACTGGGGCACAGACTCAGAGAAGAGTGGCATGTTTGAAATACATGTAAAAAGAAACTGGGGCACAGACTCTTTGAAATACATGTAAAAAGTCAGTTAACAGTAAAGCTAAACAAATCAAATTGCTTATAAGGTGTAAAAATCCGACACACATAGTGCTTTCCTTAGGTAGTTTTGGCTGCACTCCTTATTTACTTCTGACCGGGGAGCTATGGAGGAAACCTTTTCTCATTACAACAGGATACTTCGCAAAACTTTTTTCTCATAGTGGCAGCAATACACTGCTCAAGGCGGTTCTTGTGTGTATTATAAGATAATCCTGCAGGCACCACTGTTCTCACCTCTCTGCTGTTCATTCCCTTTCTCCTCAAACCTTTTTCTCTTCTCGTCTTTGTCCCTTTCCTGTTATCTTCCACTGTCTTATTTTCTCCTTTCTGGCAAGATGTGCTCAGGACATTGGTAGAGAATAAATGGGACACATGCCAGAGTAAAAGTGCCTCAGGTGAGAGAGGGAGATGCTTAGGCATAGTGTCAGCTTATTATTTGTTCTCCCCTGAATTATGTTTGAGTCTGCTGTGTTGTCGTCCCCACCCCCGTGTGGCTCGGTCACGTCGCTCTGAGGCGAAGGGTCAGCAGGGTCAATCTCTGCCCAGCACGCTGTCGCTCTGTCCATGCACGTTTACAGCTTTTATTGTCAACATAGATGAGATTCCCATGGGGGGTGCAGACCGGCACAGTTACACACTCACTGGAAACAAAAACACACACACACACACACAAAGCAGTCAGAGCTATAGACGAGGTTTCCATGGAAACAGTCTGTCCTGCCTCTGTGTCTGAACACCTATACAGTATAGGCGCATGTAAATCTAACAATGGAACGAAAATGGACAAAAGCAAAAGTATTTGTTGCTACAGTTGAGGACTTTCATTATTTAGGTTCAAAGCCTAATCATCAAGCATGCGCTCATCCAAACAGACCCCTAAAGAAAAATGGGCCAATTTTAAGCCATAAGTGTGTGATAAGAAAATTTAGCATTAAAAACTGTAGCAGGTGGTGCTGCAGCATCTCACGTTGGATCGTCTCTTGACTTGACTGGGTTATGACTAAGCAGGACTGGATCTTAATTTAGCTGCAGAAGAACATAGCTGTCAGATGAATGATTTGATTGGGAGATGAAAAAAATCAGAAGCGGTTAAGATACCCCCCGCTGCCTCGTTCCGGCTCTCGCCGTGTAACCAAATGCACATATGAAAGTGAGATGCTGAGTGGTTCTTACTGAAAACTTTTTGCTCACTGTTATTTCTGGCTTGGTATTTGTAGTTGCTTTTTCAGGTAGATAAGAGCAAATCAGTCTAGCATGGTGCATACAGGGAAAAAAACAGAATTTTGGAGAATATTTTCTCAAATTTTTTATCCTTGCCAGAGCATTTTGTCCCACATATGTATAGAAATAGAAAACTGACACATGCATGGTGTGACACTGTTAGTAAGTGATCTCAAGGTCTCACTACAAACAGGTTTCCTCACAGTCCCAGATTCTATCAAATATGATGGTTGCTCTTCCTCCCTTCTTTAAAGATATTATTTTTAAAAAAGGGTTTATAATGAGGTTGTGCATTGAACCAGCTGTTCTTTGATGTTATTGCCTCTGTTCACTGATTACAGTGTGATACAGTGTGCTTTTATCTGTTACTTGTTGAATTTGGTTCATATAAAAACTCTTTGATCATCCTTGGCAGTTTCACTCAGTCTAAATTAATTAAGATGGCTGAACATCACAACATCGTACATCAGCTTCTGTGAGGACATGTGGGTGCCCACTAAGTTTTTTTGCACATACAATTACAACAAGCCCTGGTTCACAGTGAAGCTCAAGCAGCTCCATCGTTGCAAAGTGGAGGCCTATAAGAGTTGGGGACAGGATCCTGTAAAACCAGGCTAGAAACACACTGACAAAGGAGATCAGAGCAGCAGAGTGGAGCTACACACTGTCTGACTAATGATCCGCCGTCAGTGTGGAGGAACTTACGGAACACCAGCTACAGGCAACCATCCGCCCCGCTGTGGAGAGCCATCAGTTGGCAGATAAACTGAATCTGTTTTACTGCAGGTTTGAAAAGCAGGACTCCACACCCCTCTCTCACTCTCTCCCCACCTTGAACCTGCAGTCAGTAGCTGCTCCGACATGACCACCTCCCTTCCCCTCAGCCCCCCACCCCTGAGGGTCTGTGAACAGGATGTGCGTAGCCTTTTTAAAAAACTAAAGATCAGAGAGGCACCAGGCCCAGACAGTGTGACTCCCTCCTGCCTGACAGTTTGTGCCGACCAGCTGGCTCCCATCTTTACCCAGATCTTCAATAGATCAGTGGAGCATCATTTCAGTTCCCAAGAGACCCTCCATCAGAGAACAGAACGACTACAGACCTGTCGCTCTGACATCTGTAGTTATGAAGTGTTTCGAGAGACTGGTGTTGGCCCATCTGAAGGACACCACAGACCCCTGGCAGGATCCCCTGCAGGTTGCCTACTGGGCAAGTAGGTCAGTGGATGATGCAGTCAGCATGGCACTGCATGACATCCTGCAACATCTTGACTCACTGGGGACCTTTGCCATAATCAGTCTGAATAAATTTAGATGTCTGAACTATGCTTTACCACTGTTTGCTTTGCTTCTTTATTTTTTCCTTTGTTGTTTTTAAGCATCACTATCTTATTTTCCTCTTCTCTATGTATTTTTCAGCATTTGTCTGAGCTGTTAGCGGTGGTGCGTCTTCCCTTCATCCACCCGTCCTACCTCCTCAATGTGGTGGACAATGAGGAGCTGATCAAATCATCAGAGGCATGTCGTGATCTGGTCAACGAAGCCAAACGTTACCACATGCTGCCCCACGCACGACAAGAAATGCAGACGCCCAGGACCAGGCCAAGGCTTTCTGCTGGTACGCACACACACTCACACACCTAAGTATAGTACACACCTAAGATGTCCATTATCGCTGACCTGAATGACCTAGAGTAAGAACGATGTGACAGGGACATGATCCTCTCACTGCCACTGTAACCACCCCAGATCACATTGCCCACTTCTGTGCACCCTGCATTAATATTTACAACAACAAGGTAACACAGAGATCAGGTCTTCACAAGGAGATCCTGCTTCGCCATTGCAGTGTGTTCATTTTATCATACTATGACTTTCAATACTTAAATTGACATGGGCGACAAGTCATATTTCCAAAAAAGATTTTCTTTCTACAATCCGACTACTGAAGACAAACCTGATTGATCGTTTTCCAGGGTCGTGCGGTCTGGTTGAACCCAAGATCTTTTACCGCAAACATCGCCTATCAACTTTTTAACACCAGCTAAGCACAGTCAGGTCTGTCCTCACTTTCTAACCAACCTTCCAGCCATCCTCTGTCCACCTGCCTCCAATGTCTGCACCATTGAAGACCATGTTTGTTTATGTTGTTTAAATTAAAGAACCATCCATGGAAATTGGAACACACCTGCAAATAGCTTTTGGCCATTAGACTTTTCCCTGAGGTCGGCCAGGGCCCCACCCTGTAAAGAGCTGCCTAATTATAGTGGTTGCATGGTATTATAAGCTTCACACCAGCACACCTTGCCATTCAGCTCAAGTTATTTTCTGCTTGGTAGAATAAAGATAAATGCCTAACAAATGGCACTTTATGGAGAGGTCAGTTTACCAGTCAACTCTGTCATCCAGCCCGTGTTTTTATTAGGGGATACTGCGTTAGGTTCATATTTTTGCATCTTTAATTGCCGGTAATGCAATCGCACGAGGCTTTATAAAAAATAATTTACCTCTTGAGAAAAGACATTTGTGGCATTGTATGCCCTCAGCATCATCCCATTACTCATCCTCGATGCAATAGTTTTTCTTTGTTCGCAGCAGTTTCTTCAAGCATGTTCTGTCGAGGCCCATTTTATAGTGTTTGGTATGTGCATATCTTATGCATCCTACAGCCCCATTATGCAGGCTGAAGTGTGCATTGATTCACAGCAGCTTGTGGCACTGTACAACAGAATTATATAAATGCATAAATGTTGCTGGGATGAATACATCCATGATGCATCGTTCCCCAATGACCAAAGTTTTCCCAATCAAGTTTTGAATTCTTCTGAAGGTGAAATTCTTTAAAAACTGACTAACTGGGCTGAATGTTTTATCAAAATGTGTGCACGCTCTTGCACGTTGGTTTCATAAATTGTCTAAAATTATGTAATCTGATGCATTGTACTTGTTCTACAGATGAATAGGAATGTACTTTGACATTTTGTGTAGTTGTGTGTTTTCTTGTAGGCCAGAGTGTTATTTTTGAGTTAGTATGTGCATGTTGGTGACCGTGGTTGTGTATGTGTGCGCATGTGTTGCTCAGCCATCTGCTGCATTGGACAGGATCTAAACAGCAGGGTGCATGGTCACTGCGATTGCAGGCTATATGTGGGAAGTCACATGCTGACATGCAGGACAGCAAGAAAGACCAAATAAAGAGTAGGAGGAGAGTTTGAAGTTGTTGGAGAGTGTTGTGTGTGCTCAGAGGACAAAGAGCAGGGATGTAGGAGAAGAGACGCAGAGGTCGGGATGTGGTCAGAGAGAGGCGGGAGAGGAGGAGGCAGGGGGATCAGAAATTACGTTTGAAGGGCAGACGTTTGATTGAGTTTATTCCTTGAGCGTGTGTCTACTTGTTCAAGCAGAAAGTGAGTGTGTGAGTTTGTGTTTGTGTGTGTGTTTTAAATGTGTGCAAGCAGATGGGGCACCACCTGAGCTCAGCTGATAACTGTCAGGCGGCAAAAGAAAGGACAACTGCCATCCGTGAAGTGCTTCTTGCTGAGCACAGTCAATCTGTGAACTTGTGAGTCACATGCATATGTGGGTGTGATATAGTGTTTGTGTTCATGCTGTGTGTGTTGAGTTTGTGTTGACTTGCGCTGAATTTTTTTCAGCCTAGAAATGTAGTTTACTTGTTTAAGACATATTGTTAAATCTTTCCACATTTAGACTTGCTGTAAATCTGTGAATCCAGTGATAGAAATTCTACTCATAAAACAGGCCTTCTCAGCACGAGTTAGTAGACACCAGCCAATACTGGACTATTGAGGCCAGTATCAGTATTTAAGAGTAAATTTTAAGAAACACAGTAATTATCTCTATGGGCTGATATTCATTCATAAATACATAACATAAGAAAACATTCTTTTAGAAAAACCAATATTTGACCCAAACTTCTCATCCAAATATATTCCTGTAGAGCAAATAAGAACAAAATGCCAAATTGTCAAACTGTATAGAGCCGTGCTCAGATGGCACGGGACCTGGCCCTTTTCAAAAAGTAAACTTGTGGAAAAACTACATGAAAGTGACAGTATGTCACCTCGAATATTATGAACAGTGCCAACATACAGTATCTGACCAGCTAAAATAGGCAGTGAAACAGACTCTTAACCCAACATTAAGATTCTTTCGATTCCGGGCTGCAAGCGAGAGCAGACGTCTTTACTGCTCCTCTTGTCTGTTCTACATTTCAAGTCTTTGAACATACTTTACAACTACTAAAATGCCTCAAAGAGGGAAAAGAGCTAATAAATGAGAAGCGACTGAGGATATGGAGGCAGAAGAAATGTATCACAGAGCGGCGCAAGTAATGGACATCGTGGATCATCAGAACCAAACTGATGAACCAACAGCAGGAAAGCTTCAAAGGCTTCGTGCAACTAATTATGGAGACAAACAACAAGAGATTCGACGACATGACCAGAGAAATACAGGAGATAAAAACGAGTTTGCAGTTTACCCAGCGAGAGGTGGATGTGATTAAAGCTGCCATGGGTGAACAGAAAACACAAACCAAGGAAACGAGGGATGACGTCTACAAAACGTGTGAGAGTTTAATAACTATAACGGATAAAATGGAGCATCTGGAAGCACAGTCCAAGCGAAAAAACTTGATCTTTGAGGGAATCAAGGAGACAACTGGAGAAAGCTGGTCGGAAGCAGAATGTAAAGTGAAGGAGATTCTGAAAAATAATCTGCAAATTCATCAAGAAATTGAGATGGAGCGGGCTCACAGAGTCGGGAAACCTTCGGATCGTTGTCCGAGGGCGGTGATGGTAAAGATGATGAAAGAGAAAGATAAGGCACACATATTGCAACAAGCAAAGAAGCTTAAAGGATCTAACATTTATATAAATGAAGATTACACCGACTCTGTAAGGAAGAGAAGAAGGGAATTGATGCCGAAGTTTAGGGAGGCCAGGGAGAGGGGAGACATCGCGTTCCTGAGGTATGATCGACTAGTGAC